CATTTATTTAGCACCTTCTGGGTGCCAGGCTCTGGGGAAGCTGCAGGGGATACAAAGCCTAAAGTGGAACACCTTCCATCAGGGAGCTCACATCTGCTGTGAAGTACCTTGCAGACCTTAAAGCGTTTATTGTAGAGGGGAAATAGTATGTATGCAGACAAACACATTTAAAAATTAATCAATAAGCATTTAGTGTCTGTCTGCAATGTTTCAGGCACTATGCTAGGTGAATGTTGTTCAGTTGTGTCTGATTCTTCATGATCCCGTTTGGGATTTTCTTGGCAAAGATACTGCAGTGGTTTGCCATTTCCTTCTCCAGCTCGTTTTACAGATGAGGAGACAGGATGAAGTGACTTGCTTAGGGTCACACAGCTAGTAAGTATCTGAGGCTGGGTTTGAATTCGGATGACTCTTAGGTCCAGTTCACTGCGCCACCTAGCTGCTTGTGCTCTGGTACGAGCGGGTTCCAAAGACAAAAGCAAAACAAATGCCTGCCCTCGAAGAGCTTACATTCTAAGGGGAACACACGTCAGCAGATAAGCTTATACAAAATGATTTGAGAAGGTCAGTGGTGAGAGCGCTCAGTAAGAATTAAGGGGAATAGGATGCGCTTCCAGGAGGTCAGAGCCCTTGGGGTGAGTCGTGGAGGGATCAGAGATGTGGAGCCAGGGAGGGAAGGAAGGAAATTAGTTTCCCAGATGATGAAGACCTGTCGATTCGCTCCCCTTTGGAAGCCTTTTGGCCCCAGGAATGTTGAAATCAGTGACCTTTTGGGTGTTAATTTGTTTTTCCATCTGTCTGATCCATTTAGTGTTGGCGTGACCCACTGGAACGCTGCCTTTCTTTTCTGTGGTCACACCCAATTCCGTGAATTCAATCCAGCCAGCATTTATTAAGCACCAACCACTTGCACAGGTGCCTTGTGGTGGTAGCCATTGGGCACCCTCCTTTAAGTATCTGCCTGGTCTGCGTTTCACTAGCTAAAGGGGTCTCTGTAAGAGGCCTGAAGCGGAAGATGTCCTGAGTTAGGATTGGCCCCATTGACGTCTGGGCTTCCCCACCAAATTAGCAGAATCCACCGCTGTCTTGGTCTTTTTCCAGCCCCAAATAAAGAGATCTTTTCTCTTTTTTTCAGTGTATTTGGGTCACTCCAGTGGTCTGGCTTTAAAGAGGAGGTGAGGTTTTATGTCAATGAAACATCTTACTTGTTGGACCTTTACCAGCCGTGACATTTTGAGAGTTGATCAAGGAAAAAGGGTGTCTCCCAATTCTATGAGATAATTTAAACAATTCTTCAGAATCAAATAGAGATAGAAGAAGAAATAATCCCAGTAGTCTTCAAGAGCCTGTGACCTTGAATTGCAGTTTAATAGAAATTGAGCAGAACAAGCCATTAGTTGCAGTTATTTTTTAAAAAATCAGTATTGTAAAACTGTTGAAAGGTGATTTGAGGTCCTGGGTAGATTTCTGAGCTTGGAGTCAGGAAGACTTGTATTCAAATTCTGCTTCCCCATGTCCACTATCTGTGCGACTCAAGGAAGTTGCTTAACCTCTCACTGTCTCAGTCTATAGAATGGGGCTAACACTGCCTATGTCGCCTACCTCCCGGGATTGTCCTGAAGATCCAATGAGAAAACGTTTGTCAAGTACTTTGGCAGACTTCTGGAGGGGCGTGGAAATGGAAGTATTAGTACATATAATGATAATGATGAGCATTCGAATAGTGCATGATGCTTTACAAATGTGATTTCGTATTTTTGTCCTCCTTTCACTGAGGAGGAGGCTGAGGCAGACAGAGGTTAGTGACTTATCCAGGGTCACACGGTCAGTAAGCATCCGAGGCCGGATTTAAGCTTCAGTCTGAATGCAGGCCTAGCTCTCTGTGGTAGGTCAGCTCTTGGGCCATAACGGGCCGTAATGGGCCATCACGGAGCAGGAGAGGGGAGACTCTTGGTGCATACTGGCCAGAGGTCTGGTTAGAACATCGTTGTGACTGTCTTTCCATAGGCCAGGGCCCCTGGGGAGGATCTGTTTCCCGGAGAGACTGGGCCATCCGTCTACAGTGGAGCTGTGGTCTCATGGCCACACGGCCCAGAACACTCGTTACCTCTGGAATCGCAGGGTTAGGGGTGGGAGTTCAGATCCCACCACTAACGTTTTGCTACCTGTGTGTCGTTGACTGAGTCCGTTGACCTCTCTGTGCCTCTGTGTCTTTATTTGTAAAATGACTTAGTTGGACTCATTGGTCTCCAGGGTGCCCCGAAGACTGTGTGCCTCGGTTTCCCCGTCTGTAAAATGGCCTTGATGGCCTCTGAAATCCCTCCCAGCTTTAGACTGACAAACCTGTGATTGTAGATGTGCTTGTAACTTGGGGTGTTTTGTCACCCAACACTGAATCCTTCCCCTGCTGAAGGGGCGCTTTTCTTACATGTGGCCTTGATCAAACTGGGGGGCTGTTTAATCTCGAACACTTTTTGTTGAATTGCAAAAATAAAAAAAAGAGAAAGCAGGACTTCCACGCTGCTAGCCTTCTTGGGATGCCTCGAGTTGGCCAGAGGATATTTTAGCGTATTCTCTGTGAGTTTGGGAGCCTGGGTGTGTGCCGTCTTCTCTGAATGCCGCTTTGTTGGGGATTCCCGGGCCCGCTGGACAGCCGGAGTCGGGGCCTTGCAGGGAGCACGCTTGTAGAATCCCCTTCCTTCACAACAGTGTTTTTCCTAGGACGCACCCGGGCAAACTGAAGAGTGGCCGGAGGCCCAGTTTCCTGGGATGGCCCTCTCTTTTCCGACACAAATATTTGCACCTCGGCTCGGAACTCCTCCCCAGCAGTGCCTTCTTATCCCAGGCCAGCCCCTCTGGCCTGGGCCGCTTCCTGTTCTAGATGGGGGAGGGCAGGCTGATGTTATTTTTTTCCAGGTTGGAGGGGCGGTTCCTTCTTTTTCCGGCTTTAGAGGGGAAGAGCTGGGCCTGCCAGGAGCAGCTGGGCTGGGGGGAAGGCCTTGAGAGGGCCTCTGACTTGGAAGCAGGGCGCTCTGGAACCTGTTCACAGAAGGATGTTAAACTTCCTTTTGCTGACGTTAAGCTGGAGACAAGCAGGAGGAGTGGTGAAGGCAGGACTGGGGACAGACGGCCGGCGTCCGAGCCCCTCTCTGGTTGTCTGTAAGAGGAGAGCGCTGGACTAGACGAGCTGTGACGTCCTGTCCGGCACTCAGTCCTCTGACTCCCTCCCAGTGCCTCTCGCTTAGCATCCGTGGGGCCTTAGGGGAGGCTCTGCCCTTGTCTGTACAATGAGCACTGTGCTGAACACCAGGAATCCAAACAAAGGCAAAGACAAGCCCTGCCCTCAAGGAGCTCACCGTCTAGGGAGGGAGACAACATGCAAACAGCTGTGTACAAACAAGATTAGACTGGAGAGATTAGAGATGATCAACACGGAGAAGGAATGGACCGGCTTTCCACTGCAGTGCATCGTCTCTGCCAAGCCAACAGCCTGAAGCACAGAGTTATGCAGAGAAGAAAACCCAGTGTGTAGGTGTGCGCTCCATAAAGGCCAGGATTTTTCCTGTTGAATGGAAAAGTGTTTCGTATTTCCAGGGCGCCAGGAACAGCAATAGCAAAAGCCTTCCTCGGTGCATGACTCGGGCTGAATTGCTACCGTGCTGGGCTGGGCTTGGGGATTTCCTTTTTCCAAGAAGACCTTTGCTGGAGATGGTCATGATTCCACACTTAGTCCTGCACCATGTCTGTATGTTGGCTGCCTTCGTTCAGGTCGTCTTGTTTCGGAAGGAGCGGGGATCAACCTTCCCTGGAGGCTGAGCCCTCCTTGGCTCACTGTCCAGGAAGCCGGGCTGTTCCTAGCTCACTCTCCAGGAGGCCGGGCCGTCCCCGGCTCGCCCGCCGTCCTGGGGGCCGGGCCGTCCCCAGCTTGCCTGCTGTCCTGGAGGCCGCCGAGCCATCCCTCGCTCACTGTCCAGGCTCATGTGTGTGGAGTCCGGAGTAGCTGGTGCCTGAAAGTCCAGGAAGACAAGATTCCTCCTCCAGGCCTTTTCCAGGCTCACCATCCTTGGCATGCTGGGCTTTTCATCTTTTATGAGAACCTAATAGAACTGTGTGAGCTATGCCACTTAAGATGCTAGCTGATAACTCTCCTCCCGGGAAAGAAGACAGTGTATCTCTTGTTAGGAACCTTTTAATAAGTTTTCCAAGTACTTGGTTTCTAGTCGGCTGCCAGTTTAAGCGCTGTTAATAATTTGTTCAACCCATCCCCACTTCAGTTCTGTTAGCGGCGACTTTCTAAGAGTAGAGATCAATCAGTGTCCCTTCCCGGGCTCTGCTTCTGTCATCTGTGACCTCGAAGGCAGCTAGGTGGTGCCATAGTGCATAGAGCACCTGGCCTGGAATCAGGATGACTCGTCTTCCTGAGTTCAAAACTAGCCTCAGACACTCACTAGCTGGGTGAGTCACCTAACGCTGTTTGCCTCAGTTCCCTCATCTGTCAAATGAGCTAGAGAAGTAAATGACAAACCACTCCAGTATTTTTGCCACGAAAGCCCCAAATGGGTTCATGAAGCGTCAGACACCAACAGTGTCCCTTTCGGCCCTAAATCTACGTTCCTGTGAATTGATGCTTGACATTGGGAGGTAAATATCTTTCCTCTGCTAATGAGTACTCACCCATTTAGACCCTTTATGAATCTGAAATGTTTCTAAGACTGTAAGTCAACAAAGGAGTGGTACATGATATTGTTGGCAGTTCCTTTACACCGTTTAATCCTCAGGTCCAGGCCGCACCTTCCCAGTAAATTGGATACCAAATACCTTGAAATGCTGTAACAACTCACTTTTTTTTTTTTTATCACATCGACCAGGACAACCTATTGAATGGGAAAAATGCGACGAGGGCATGGGCTCAGAAGAGAAGACTGGAAAGTGGGGTGAGAACAGTATTAGAAAACTTAATGTGTCTTCCTCTCCCCCCACCCCTTTTTCTCTTCTGATAGAATTGGGTATTCTGGCCAAGCAGTACATACAACAAGGTCTCTTGATTCCCGATCATGTGATAACACGGCTAATGATGACGGAACTGGAGTCCAGACGGGTCCAGCCGTGGTTGCTTGATGGTGAGTGGGGCGTGTGGGCAGGCCGGCTTTCTAGAGGTACACTGGTGGATGGTCTGCTTTGTATCTCCATGTAAAGTCTCATAAATGTGAAAATACTGCCTCAAAATGTTTTAATGGTTCAAGAGGGAGAAAAGTGGAATAATCCCAGCATGAACTGAATTCCAGTCTGGGGCCGGAAGAGGCATCGGCAATCCAGCCCTATCCTTGGTTACCACCTCAGGAACCTTTTGGAATCCAAGGCCTTGGCCTTATGGTCAGTAGAGGCCCCCTCCTTGTCCCCTCTGCGACCGATTCACCCCTTTCTCTGGCTTGTTTGTCCATAGTTATTTGCGTGTTGGCTTCCCCATAGGAGTGTGAACCCCTGGAGGACACGTACTGGGTTTCTGCCTTTGTTTGCACTCCCAGCACAGGGCATAGTGCCTGGCACGTAGTAGGTGCTTAATGAATATTTGTTGAATTGAATAAAGGCACAAAGACAGCCGTTTTAAATTTTGCTTCTTGTAAGTGTATACATTCCTAATGCCAGGTATTTCCTCTCTACATGGCCCATACATACTACCATTGAAGCCACAAGTCTTTGGTGGACAGAAACACCTGGGAATGAGACATCCCATGAAAGAAGGGATAACTTTTCCCTTGGATTCTTGCATGGAGTAGGCAAAGCCCTTGTCCCAGAATGGATGCTCAAACAAAATACCAAAGCATGCTCACTTGAGGTTGTTTCTGCTTGCTAAATTTATTAAACGGCTTTATTTCAAATGGTTTTTAAGGAAAGAATGATACATCTGGAGTTAGGAATCAATCACCAAGCACTTAATAGGGACCTATTGTATGCCAAGCACTGTACTAGTCACCAAGGATACAAGGGCAAAAATGAATGGCCCCTACCCTCAAGGAGCTTACAGTCTGATGTTAGTGATAACCCCTACATATATTGGTCTACATAAAACATGTAAAAAAAAAGATACCAGAGTTACCTTTGCGGGGAAGGCCCTGGCAGCAGGGGAGACCAAGTGGCCTTTTGAAGAAGAAGGCGCTGCTTGGGCTTGGTCGTGAAGGAATCCGCAAGTTCCATGAGATTGAAGTGATGAGAAGGGGTTGGCATTCCTGGCATGGGAGTCTGCCAGTGCAAAGGCATAGTGGTGGGAGATAGAATGTGTGACAGCAAAAAGGCAGGTGTGTGCCATAGATTGTTTGAAGGGAGATGGCGTGTAAGAAGGTTGACAGAGACTAGTTGTGTTATGGAACAGGCAACTGGTGGCTCAGTGGTTAGAGCATCGGGCTTGGAGTCAGGAAGGCCTGAGTTCAAATGTGAACACTTACTAGCTGTGTGACCTTGGACAAGTCACTTACCCTCTGCCTCAATTTTTTGCTATAAAATGGACCTACCTCTCAGAGTTGCTAATGAGAATCAAATGAGATAATATTGTGATGTACTTAGCACAGTCTGTGCTACATAAATGCTTATTCCTTTCCCATGCCCCCGGGATGACCTCTTAGTACCCAAGGCAACTCTTAGGACTGAATTGCCTGTATATCCCGCATATATCCCTACACAGATGAAATCCTATGCGCTGACCAAATAAATGAATACCTCCCCTTGAATTAACCAAGTTTGGAAAATCATGGTTTTATTTTTCTCTTAAGGGGTGGGTGTGTGCCTAATTAATATTTCACATAAGAGATCTTTACTTGTCAAAGGATTCCCTGTAGGAGTCTTTTCAGTAGAAAACTACCCTGATAGAAGACTGTAGTACGTCAGGCTCCCCATGTTTTATAGACACATCAGTTGGAGAATGTGAGGGAGGCAAACCCATCGCCATCATTCTTTCCGCTAAAAATCATCCGTCTGTGATCTCTTTTATCTTCACCTTAATTTGGTTAAAATCCAGTTTTGCAGAAGACAAAAACCAAAACCAAAAAAACCGGAAACACAGCTCCTGCCTTCAGGGAGCTCCCATTCTAATGCTAGAGACAAGATGCCAACAAGTGGTTGTGGATGAGTGGATGAATGGACGGATGGACGGATGGACGGATGGAATGATTTAGAGCTGGTTGGTCCTAGAGATCAGCTCATTCAACCCTGTCATCTGACAGATGAGCAAATTGTCCAGCAAAGGAAAGTGATTTGGTTATAGTCACCCAGCTTGTAAATAACAGAGCCAGGATTTGAACCTGGATCTTCTGATTTCCCCTTCAGGAGATGTTGTTTTTCTCATCGCGGCTGTTTCTCAGTGTGTTTGGTTTTTCCTTTGAGGTTTATTTCCTCAGTTGTGGCTTTTTTAGAGGACTCAGTGAATCTCTCTGGCCCCGACAACTCCAAGGCGGGTGTGGCGTCCGTGTTCCTTGTCTGTTCTCCTTGTGCAAGTGACAGACTTGACATATGTGTGTATATGCTTATGTATGCAAGCGTGTGTATCTAAACATGCAATTTAAGTATGTATACGTGTGGCTACCTGTACACGTGCACATTTACATGTGTGTGCATGTATGTGATAAATGTACACTTGTGGGTTGTGTGTGTGTATGTGTGTTAAAGGTGGTTGAACAAGGGAGATTAAGAAAAGAATGCAAACTGATGGAGAACTAGAAATTTCCATGGTCCAGATGGCTCTGAAGCCAGGCATCTAGCAAATGGTGGGTAGGAGGGGAAGAGACAAGAGCCAAGAAAGCACCAGGCCAGTCTTGGGGGGTGGGGGTGGGGGCTCCTCATTGAGGCTTGTGTGGGCCGGGCCTTGAGCTGGAAAACAAGCTGCCTTCACTCTGGCAATCAGTGGGTTTCGTGGCCGTCCCCCATCATGGTTGATGAGATTGCTTAGCGCAGTTTAAATCGGAGATGTCACGTTCCCAACGAGTGCCAGATTAAGGTATAAACAAAATAAATAAAAAGACAAGACAACAATAATGTCAACTTGTGGTTTTCTACGTCATTATGCAAGGGAGAGATTTATTTTTGTTGGTTTAAACTATTAAAGCTGCATTAAGGGGATGCCCAGTGTGTGTGTGTGTGTGTCTGTCTGTGTGTGCATATACACACATTCATATATTTATGTTCATATGAACACACACATTATACATGTATATCTGTCAATATGTGCACACACATAAGTACACATATGTGTACAAAAACACACGTGTGGCATATTGCCTCCATTTGGCTTTTACTTCACTGATGTTTCCCAATGGAAATGGATTGAGAGCTGCTGCTTTAAGCCAGGAAGACCTGGGTTCAAGTCCAGCTTCTCTCACACATACTGGAAGTATGACCTTGGGTGAGTCACTTAAGCCCTTAGCTTTCTGGGTAATTCTCTTAAGACTATAAGTTGCAGAGAAGATACAGTTTCTATCTGTAGAAGGAATCCCATTAAATCTTTAATAAATCTAGTCACTATCCTACATCTCCTGTCTATCTATCTCTCTCCTCTCCTTTTTCCAGAGAGCCGTCACTCATAACAAAGGATGACAAAGGCAAAAAATAATCCAGCCAAACTAATGAATATTGGAAAGTCTGATGATCTGTGTAGCATTCCACACCCATTAGCTCCCACTTCTATCAGAGGATCCTTTGTGGAGACTGGGCTGCCATTTATGCCAAACTTGTTTTGGCCTTTGGTTTATTTGGTGTGACAGGATGGAAAGAGCCCCGGGTTTGGAGACGGGAAGCCTGGGTTCAAATCCCAACTCTATCACTTTCTATGGAGAGCAGTTCCTGGCGCAAAGGGAATGTTTAAACACTGCACAGAGGAGGTGCTTGAGCAATGCACATAGGAAGTGCATAATCCATGCACATAGAAAGTGCTTAATCGATGCTTGTTCACTGTGACTGACCATATGATCTTTTTATGCAAGTGCCTTCATCTTTCTGGGCCTTGGTTCCTGTTCTGTATAATGAAGGGATTGGGTTAGATGGCTCCTGGGTCTTGTCCAGCCCCAAAGAAATAATCCTATGATTGTGGTTCGTTGGATGACTGTTCAGCTCAAATGCCGCCTCCCGTGTGATGCCCATCAAGAACTCCCCAACTGTGGTGCTATTATACTATGTATGTTTGTATGTATATATGTCTGGCGTGATGGGAAGAAGCCCAGGGTTCATAGCCTGCCTCTCATGCTTCCTCTGTATGACCTTGGGTAACCTCCCTTGGCCTTGGTTACCTCATCTGGAAGATGGCCTCTGGGATACTTTCCAAGTCTAGATCCAGGATCCCATGTCCTTGTGCAGAGGCATCATGGGTACCTGGCCTCTGAATCAAGAAGATCCGAGTTTGAGGTCCTGCATTGGACGCAGACTCTGTGACCCTGGCCAGGCTCCCTAACCTCTCAGTGCCTGCCTGGGGCGGCGGTTTAGGACTGTACATTGCACAGCAGGCACAAACCTCTGTTGGTGCAGGGAGTTTGTTCATTAAGAGTTCCCGTACCAGGGCAGCTAGGTGGTGCAGTGGATAGAGCACTGGCCCTGGAGTGAGGAGGACCTCAGTTCAAATCCAGCCTCAGACTCTTAACACTTACCAGATGTGTGACCCTGGGCAAGTCACTTAACCCCATTGTCTAGCCAAAAAAAAACCCCAAAACAAAACAAATACAAACAAAAAAAAGAGAGTTCCCATACCAATAAGATGGCAGGCAGGTCTATCCTGTATACACATATATAATTATATAAACATACATGTGCATGTGTATATTCATGCTTATCTTTGTATAGCCCGCCTCAGTAGAGTATAAACTCTTTGCCTCAGTATCCCCTTCCACCCAGCATACAGCTCAGCACAACGTGTCCAGTAACACTGGCCTCTTTGCTTTACCTTGAGAAGGACCCTCCATCTCCTGACTCCAGGACAGCCATTTTCCCTGGTACTCTTTCCCCTTCCTCATCTCCACCTCTTGCCTTCTGGCTTCCTTCAAGTCTCAGCTGAAATTCCACCTTCTGAAAGAAGCCTTTTCTGGTCCTCCAAAGACTGTGAGCTGTTTGAGGGCAGGAACTGTCTTTGTCCTTCTTTGTATCT